CTTGGGCTTTTTCTTCTTCTGTAAATTTAGCAGCCAGACAAGACTAGTAACTCATCTTATGTTTTCACCCCATGTTGTCGTGTTGAAGTCATACCAACACCAACCCAAGAGTAAATTGGTTCACTCATGATTGCTGTCCTGGAAGTTGTCATTCTATCCATCAGAATCAGTGCTTTTCACTTCACTTTGAAGTGCTGCAATTAAGATTTTTGCCATTTTGATGCAACAGCCCCATTTTAAATGTGAGTCAATCTGAACGTATTTTTCAACGTACACTGCAAACAGCCCAGTGCAGCAGCCCTGAAGGGGCTTAAGGAGACATTACTGTTTAAACTTAGCAAGTCATGTAAATATAAATATGATGGGGATTTCATTGCAAGGAAGAGACGATGGAGATGATAACCATGCAAAGATTTCCCATGGCATTGCTTTCTTTGGCAAAGCCCAGGGGGCAGAGCTTTCCTGGATGGTCTAGGGAAATACCTTTTCTTACTTTTCTCCAGTTTCATCCAGCACGCAGGTCACCCTTTAAAAGCATGACTAGAATCAGTCATCTGAAACGCTGCCAAACAGATGCAAGTTTGTCCTGTTACTAGTTTAACAAAACAAACAACATATAGTAAAAAGCTCCTTGTGATTACAGTTTCAAACTCTCTTCTGCAATCCGGTGCTGAAAACTTATTTTAACTTTAGATTTTACCACAATCAAATAATAAATCATTGTTTTACAGTTTCTATCTATTTATCCACACTGCAAACAAATTATGCCCTAGAAGAGATTAATGGAAAAAAGAAATAATGGAAGGTGGAAGAGAAGCTGCTTCTTTCACAACTGAAGGCACAAACAGCATTCTAAATGAGCCAGGTAAGCAACAAATGTGGTTGTTAGAGAATATTTATGAGAGCGGCAACTGTGTAACATCACTGAAGCATGCACAATGGCAGCAAGCTTTTTATAAAATTTATCTACAAAAGAGACATGTAGTTAGGTCTAACTATCAATCATCCGGACATGTGAATAAATCTATAGTCAGTGGTCCATGCTCTGTTAAAATCACCTCTTACCATAGAGAAAACATGCTGCCCAGTAAATAAACCGTAAGACCACAGAAGCTAAAATGACATATTTTACATATCATCACAATAATAATATCTCAACTATTAGACCAGCAAAGGTTTGTATATTTAGATCTCACAGAGAGCAAAGCATATTATAATGACTGGTTAAATGCTCTGAATAAGTGATTTAGGTTTAACATGACATCACACTGAAACAACCAGATTTGTTTTCTTTTTAAATTCACATTCTTTAAACCAGTGGTTACTGATCTACAAGAGCACATCTATACGGACTACTTAAGTCTCTTCTCCCCTGGAAGTGTGTGTATAACTCCCATTAATGCTAATGGGCATAAAGCACAAGCATTGAGAAGAAAATAGACCCCTCACTGTGAAAATAAATGTGTTCAGTTATTTTCAGACACGATGCTGAAATCAAACAAGTAAAAGTACATACTCTAAGGAGATAACATTATACAGCCTAACTGAAAATGTCACCATTATTTTTAACTCCCTGGTCATGGACTCTGTCATATTCTTCATGTTGCTGCTATTTGTCATAAAGATCATGACTGGATGACTTGTCAGAAGGAAAAGGGCCAAATCCAAAATTCTTACACAAGAAAAACAGCCCTGATCTTAAACTCCTTGCCTTTGCAAACAACGTAAGGTTAGGCCTTATGTCTTAGGCTTTCATTTAGGCCATGTAATATTTTCTCTTTACACCATAACCAAGGGTTAATTGCAGCAATACACTTTACTGTTCTCTAGAAGAGGTCTTTAAAACTGTGATGAATATAATAAGGTAAAAATCTAATCACCTACATTATTTGACATCTTCCTTAATGATTTGATATCTTAACATGTTTGCTGCTCTGACCAAAATTCATTGAATCAGTTCTGCTGGTTCAAATAGGCAAGAAAATTTGCTTATACACCAATGTGAGGTTCAAAGTCGCTGTGCTTTATTATAGTACAACAACATATATCCAGTTCTTTTCATGATGGAACCAACTTTTTGCAACTTTATAGCTAACCTAATGAGATGTTTAGAACAATCATGAGAAAAGGAAGGTTTAAAAAAGGGTGCAATAATAAGTTGAGTATTAATGTTTTCGGTGAACGTACGTAGGTTCTTTGGAAAGGCCTGCTGACTCTCTGATGGGAGCAATCACACCCATCGTCCCAAATCAGAGAGGTGCACCTTCAAACAAACAAATGCTATTAGGTTATACATCAATCAGGGACGAGCTTTAAAGAGACTGTAGCCTAATGGCATGCCAGCTCTTCCGGCAATGACACCCTTTCAGAAGTCAGTGCCAGAGGAGAAGGGTAGTGGTCGAGAGTTGAAAGATCAACTACCATGGCTGAGTCTAAGGTTTTATGATACGGACGAGGCAAATGTGAGAGCTAGGTGTTGCTAGGTGCTGGGCAGTCCAGCTCCCTGCCCCTTGCCCCCAGCCACATGTTCACATCACTTCCCTTGTACTGTTGCTGGTGCTCATCTGCTCTCCCAGAGTCAGTTAGTTCACAGAGAAAAATAGCCCTAGGAAAACAAAAGGTCAAGGCTATTCCTCCGATTTAGCTCCTTGCACCACAGCGCGGGGTCAGACAGGCACTACTTCTGGCACGAAACGGGGACAGCAAAGTATGTGGCTAGGGCTGACAGAGGCAGTAGGGCTGACCCTTTCAAACTGAACCCTGAGCCCAGCCCAGCCATATCTCAGAACCAAACCCACATGAAAAGGATACTCAAGGCAGATCCCAGATGAGCCAAGGGCCTCACTGATCAGTGTCTACATACTGAAGGGAAGAAGGAGCCTCAAAGACTGCCGTATTTCTGCCAGACACTTCCAGAGATGCACGTACGTGCTGCGGAGCCACTGCGCACCATGCCTGGGGACAGCTATGCATCAAGTAACTCATCAGAGGGCTCTTTATGAACTGGCACAGAGGGTTAGTGAGTAAAGAAGCTGTTATTCACTGTACAAGCCCTCAGCTGCAAGCACTAGAACTGCAAAGTATTTCTGCATCTCCCTTAAGGGAGTTCTTTGTAGTGACAAGAGTTGCGCTGGAGAATAGCTGAGCGCCCTTCTTCTTTTATAAACCAGGAAAAGCTCCTAACAACACAGCAACCCTGGCAATATTTGAGGCCACAGTCCAGACCACCTCTCCTAAATTTGGCACAGGAATTACTGCAGAGACCGATACAGCCAAAATGAGCAGTAACTGCAAAAAAGAACAGTAAATAAACCAGGTAACAAATCAGAAAGTTCCCTAACTTATTTTGAAAAGGGGGGGAAGGGCGGCAATGGCCCATGACATGTCAGCTGCTGTACGGACAGACACTTATCTATTTGCCTAAGTACGTATGGCGCTGAGCTGGAGACGCTGGGGCTCCGCACAGGCCGAGCATGTAACACCCGTAAAGCAGAACACGTTATGTAACACTGATTTGGACTCACACAAATAACTGCTTTTGAATGGCTCTCTTTTCTTTTTCTTTTCAAGTAAGAGAAGCCTGCCTTTCTTTTTGATCTGAGTGTATCACTGTGACTCATTTTGCAAGTTCAATTCTGATTATGCAGTGAAAAGGCCAAAAACTTAAATATTACTTCTTCTGCAGAGAACACTAAATCTATTTTCTCCTGGGTGAGCTTGCAGGGATAAACAATCCTGTGAATGGTTTGGTGTATGATATGCAAAAAGAGACATTTCTACAGCCTGTCTAGACTCCCAGACAAGATCAAACTGTGTTGTCATCAGAGACATTTCCATAGCTTGTCATATCACTTGGAAGACAGAAACCCCACCATTTCAAAGCAATCACGCAAAAATAAAAAATAAATAAAAACAGCCTGACCTGCCAGTACTGTCGTGGAAATCTGAATATAACAACCTTACACAATTTACAAATTATGCTAACAATACAGCAAGAAGTTTCAGCAAACATTTGTGAAGAAAGGCAACTCCTGCACAAGTGAATGCAATCCAAAAATATGAGTCATGCACAAGCAATTTTGCTATGGGCCATAAAATCACTTTATATGAGTTACAGATAATTCTGTATGTATCTATAATGTTTCCCTACTGTGTAGAGATGGATATCTCAGTATCCTATCACAGATAATGATGGAAAACAAATTCTCTACATAAAAGCTGATTGCTCAGAGATTCACCCTTGACTGTTCCAAGGAATTGTAACGCCGACAGAACACTTTACACTGTATTCATCAACAAAGAGGCAGATTCCATCAGTGCCAAACATACTGCAGTTTAGATGGTTTTTATAGTATGCAGTAGGGTGAATTGGCTGCAGCCTTAGACACAGAATACACATCTTGCTATTTCTCAGCACCTACATATTGTCTTTATCACACACGCATCTACAGTGCTTCAGAATGACTTCTCTCATTTCCTCCTGTTAGCACCTTTGCACATTTTCAGACAGTAGTATTAAAAGAACAGATTTGTTCTTTACATGCCATGCTGAGGAAATCTGCAACGTCAAGCTAGTCATGAAATCAGAGACATGAGAATATAAAAGGTGAATCCTACAAGACCAACTTCAGAACAACACATCTTCCTTTTACAACTACATTGTCCTTTTTATATTCCTTTGTAACTTTTTCCAACTGTACTCAAGGAATCACTAACAATTAAAAATTGCTAAGAAACACTGAAGACTGTTTTCATGAGGGAAAACAGACTTCCCTCATGAGACTTTAACACTCGTTACCCCTTTGCAAGGTACCTTTACAACCACCATACTGTTGGCAACCCAAAACCAATGGGGATTCCACTGAAAGTCATCTGGCACCTTCTCTGGATGTGTCCTACTCATATGTAACACTATATGATTTTCTCTCAAACTTGGAGGTTGTACCCTCCAGGAGCTGGGTCTTAAAAAGAAAAAAAAAAAAAAAAAAAAGGTAAGGTACCTCTCCAACATCATAGATCCATATGCGGCCTTCTGAATCACCAACTGCTACCTCCTTCCCAGCCTGGGCCCAGCGGACACGGTTGAGGGCAGAAGCTCCTTCAATTGTCACGCTGGCTGTGGGAACCTGTTAAAACAATAGCAATAGAAATGACAATAAAATCATGCTACCTGTGACTCTACGGGTCAGTTTAGAACGTTCTGTTTAGCTCAATGAGTCACAAGTCCCTTGGCATTGCTGAAAGTAACCTACAATCCTCGTTAGAGGGAAAGAAAAAAAAGGGTTCATTGTTTCTTCAATCACATGTGCTAAAAAGAGGGAAGACTAAGAGATTGCTTGGAATGGGTAGGGAAGACTTTTCCACAATAAAGGGCAACAGACAAACCAATTTTTCTTCACTTTGGAGACACGCAAACCATATCAGCTTCCTCAGAAGACACGGATTTATGACCAAGAATCAGCTGACCAAGAATCATTTCAGTCTTATCCCGGGTTTTTACCTGACTAATCACAGAAAAATCCTAATATTCATGCTGACATATCCTTTCAATTCATACCCAAATCTACAGCTAGACAAAGAGGTCAAAGCTCAGGTATTACTTAAGAAGAGCCCTGAGAATGACTTAAGAGTGAGGATGCAGCAGAAATGAGAATAGCTGAACTCATGTTCAGAAACTTCAATACTCCCACAATTCTCTTTTATACTTCTCCCATATTCCCAGGAGCCACCTTCTGGTTTAAGTACATCTAGATGCTGTTTAATCCCCCCACAGTCAACCAACAAATCAACAGATGATCCACAAGAATGCATGAAGATTCTGGTTAGTATGTAGGATGAATAGAGCAATGAACATTATCTTTGAAGAAGTATTTGTAATCTCTACTGGAATGAAGTCATCACAGAGAGGCTGGAGGAAGAAGGATTTGTGCGGTGTCTGTCCCATATAGGCAAATCATTCAGGTGATTTAGGTCACTTCATAAGACAAATGATGGATAACCTGTAAGTCTGCTAACGGTCCACCAAGCCACCTTTAATAGGAGAACCTGTCTGAGCAAGGAGTCTGCAGTTTGGCATGACAGACCTCTGAACAAAGCTTTTTTGCTTTTATGTGTCTAGGTCAGAGCAAATGGGACAGAATGGCAGTTGCAAAAGCAGCTCCTTCATCAGACCAATCTGCAGGAACAGATCTTAGTCACACAGAAGAATGCGGACAAGGCAATGTCCCAGGATCTATAACTGGACATGGAATTGGGGAACATTCTAGGCAGGAAGAGGCATCTGGACAGGAACCAGAGTGTGGTCTACTTCTGGAGGAGTGACAGCTACTCCTGCCCTTGCTGGGGGGCACGCTGTGCAGAAGCGGGAAGAAGGAAGCTTAAAAGTGGTATTAAAACTGGATCTGTAAATACAGAAACTAACAAATTAACAAAAGCAATGCTTAACTAACTTCATCTCAGCTTTTAGGCTGTAGTTTTATATTATAGGTGCAAAGATCCACATGAAAAATAATTTTAAGACAATCGTTTTATACTTCCACTGCAATCTCCTCTTCTCAGCTCTAAATCCTTCAACATGTCACACGGTGACGGTAGGAAGCAAAAACTTGGCAGACTTCCGGAGAGACTCTAGCCCTGGCCACAGCACGTGCGCAGCCCCTCTAGCCGCAGAGCAATGACACGAAAGCGAGACTGCTGCCTTGCACCTCTCCATCTGAAAACTCCCCACTTCTCTTTGTCACTGATTCTGACTAAAGGCTGTAAAACCAAATTGGTATCTCCGAGCGTAACAGGCTTGGCAAGCTAACTCATCATGTCGGTAAACGGCTGCACAGTGGTGTCCTGAGTCCCACATAGGAAATGAAAAAAGATATTGTTTGTAGAATGATTTAGAAATAATGCTGGAGAGCAATCAGAAAGCAGATACCATCCTCCCCCTTTAAGAAGTTATTCAGAGGCACATAAGCCACTGAACTCATCCCTCCATTGTTTCAGGCCTAGGTCCTGTCCAACGCAGCATTACCAATAAAAGCTGGCATCCACTCCAACTCCTCATCCTGGCTACGTTACTGCTCAGTGCATTCGAGTCAGGGGCTTAAATCTGACACTGGGTCATTGACCCTTGACAAAATCACATTACAAAACTGGTAAGTTTTACTCCTGTGACCGCTGTTTTCTAGAAAAACCTATTTTAATTTCAGCCAAAATTAATTGCATAACATTTGGAAATGGGTTTCTTCAAACAGCAACTAAGTGCCATTTTTTAGAGCACTAATCCACTAACTAGCTACATTTCTCAGAAAATTGTAGATCAAAGATATTTGTTTCAAATGAACTACACAGCGCACATTTAAGACACTGAATTTTTAGAAGATCTTTCAGAAGGCGGAAATATACAATGCTGGAACTGTTTATGTTGCTGTTGTTGTTAATACAGCACTCTTTCAGCGCTCCACATAAAAACAAACAGCATGCATGCTGCAGATACAAAACACAACCTATGCTTTTTTAAAAATCCAATGGTTTTGTAAAATCCTATTACTACTCCACAAAGCTGTCTAACAAGACAAAAGGTAATCATGAAATAGTATTTTAAAATCCAAATAAAAAGCCTCTCTAGTGGCACAGAGAGAAATATAGTCAAACCCTATTATCTTAAAATAGTTCCCTGCTTTGAATAGTGATAGGTTAAATTACACACACCTATTTTAGATTTCAAAGATCTGAGTTTATTTTATAATGGTGGTATGTTAGCATCGTGTTTCAAAAATTATATTTAAAATACTTTATAAATCGCTAAAGTTGGTGCTTGTCAGATTTTTAACCATTTCGAAATGAGATTTTACAGGTAACAGATTGAGAAAGATGTACTCGGAAAAACCTGAACAGTAAGGATATATCTTTTTGCTTCTCTTGCTTAGGTAGTGTCAAAACTTGCTTGTAAATATATCTTTTATCTGTTTCTAGAAACTGACACCATCTTTACACTTTCAAAGCGAGGGTATGATATGCAAAAGAAAAGTATGCTTGAACAGAATATAATACAGCAGAAATATGCAAATTTATATATTAGTGTAATATCAGTTTATAGATAAATAAGACTCCTCGATAAGCCAGAGACCTTCTTTAACACTGATGCAAAAAGAAAGGTTACAGATACATAGGTAAGAAATCAGCAACTGCTATCCTGAAACTATCTGCAAATCTCACATACTTATCTACAGAAATATTAAGTCAGCTTGTAAAAGAATGAACAAGTGGGGCAGGTTTTTAGAGCTTTTTTAATATTCATTTACGAAATATAAATCAAACATGATAACTTGTATTGCTATTACAAAAATCATTTCTGGTATCCACCGATCAAAATGCAGCACACAAATACTCCTGTCATTTTAAACTGAGTAATTAGAGTGATTAAATCTGTGGTATGGTCAAATGATTTTAGTTATTTTGATCAGAAAGCATCTAGAACTGGGGCAAAATGTTTTAATAAATAGGTAGAACAACACTAGCGGCAACCGTGTTATAGTTCAAAAATGTGAAGGTAACTTATTGTAACTAAAGCCCAGTATTACTGGTTACAAAATAATACCTAAATAATAATGTGGCTTATTTCCCAAATTAAACAAAACCAGGTCTCATTAAGAACAATCGTATCTAGTTCTTACACAGAGATTTTTATGAATATCTAGCAGTTAAAACATTAATATACTTGTCATTTTCTACTGTCTCCGTAAATACTTTGTCACAGATCTGACATCTAAAACTAATAACGTGCATAGCTGTTTCAAGATTTTTTATTACAAACATTAAGTACTGACAAAGACTTTTTCTTAGTAAATAGTAGAGCGCATTTTGGTTGCATAATCAATTATGGCAATCTTGAAAATTATAAACTAATTATGACCTACCAGATAGAGGGTCAAAGCTAACAATGATCGTTTTGAGTTACGAGCTTTAAAAGAACTGTTTAAAGTTCTCCTTTTCAGGGTACTTGTATGTCTGATACTGCTTCTCTTGCATAACAAAATCTCACATATATTCAGATTCTGCCAGTTGATCATTTCTAGAGATTTTTAATTTGTTTCATCAGTGCTCAGTAAGGAAACCAAATGATACTTCTTCCTTCACAGATCCAAATTTAATTCTCATTAAAAATACAAAGCTATAATACTACCATGGAGATAATTCCAGTCCGATCCTTACATGAGAGCTGATTTTGACCTCTCAGAATGGAAATCATTTGTGAAATCCGGGGTGGCCTTACATGCAAAAGAAATGCAGGATTGAGCTTGAAATTAATTTCTTTTTGTTGATGTTCCTAAGTATTTGTATGTAAACACACTGAAAATACATCAGCAGTTTCCTACATACAGGCTTATTATTGATGGGAATGGGATCAAGCGGTCCATACTAATTTTTTGGAAAGAAATTATGGCCTTATTGAATTAAATGGCAAAACATCAGTTGATTTCAGGCAGAGCAGGATTTCAGCCCTGCTATTTGGGGGGAAAGGGTGTTTTTTTTTTTTTCCTTCTTCTTAAATGCTGGGTTTTATGCTCTGTGTTTAAGCCTGCATTAATGAGAACACCTGAAGGATATGTCCCTCCCTTCCCAAAATAAATTCTGCGGAGACTCCTCCTGTATATCCTCCAGCTGTATGTGTCCTAATTAAAAAGGCTGCGCTGCTTCCTGCTCAGAGCACTTCAAAAGGCCTTACTGCTCCACTTGACAATACAGTGAGCCGTGTTGGTTCCTCTTACCTGTCCGTACTTATTTATGGCAAGCACCATTCACTGGAAACCATAAACTGTGCCTGTATTTTACTTTGGCTGAAATGTGTATCATGTTTACATGAAAGGCATATTAATGAACAAACTAATCTTAAAGAAAAACATTGTAGGAAACCGGGTGTGTGGAGGGAACTACTACTGTTTGTGCTCTGGATTTTTTCTTCCTTGAAAATGAAAAGAACCTGTCAGTTAATAGATGGCCCTGTTGTTAAGCTCTGCTTTTGTTTGGTTCTTAATTTTACACAGAATTGAGCAAAAAATATGTAGGACTTCAGTGACGGAAAAATATTTCAATTCCCGTTCTGAATACTGACTGCTGGTCAAATAAGACTTTAGATAAAATGACAGTTTTTCTCAAAATCGTCTTCAAAGAAAATTCAAATCCAGCAAAAATAACGTCAATACAAATCTCTGGTGTTTTTTTGATCTGAAACAATAGGAGGAAACAAAAAGGGGGCATTCATCATATTTAGGAAGCAACTTCTAAAAAAACCCCAGTATTTTCCATTCTTTTTGCAAAAAGCTCTGATTAATCCTTTCTGCATCAGTGGAATGTAAAGCTGTGACATTTTACCCCAGTGGTCCCTTCTATTGAGTTAATACAACAGTGTAAAAATCTTGTTCTGTTTTTCTTTTGCATTTGCGCTTTTAAATTTCACGGCAGGCTTTGCAAATTTTAAAGAGAAAAAAAGGTTGGAAGAGTAGAAAAATCACAAATAACACGTGAGAAAGATTCCCTTTAAAAAAAAAAAAAAAAGAAAAGCAGAATAACTAGTTATTCGGAAAGGTAAGAGGTGAAAGAAGGAACATGGGCGCAGTGGATTTCTATCAGGATGGAGGCACTACTACGGGGCCGGGGCTTGCAAGCTGTTATATTCTCACGAGCGTTTGGGGAGGGGGGGATAATTATGAAGGAGAATTAAATCTCTCACTGGAACACGGAATAACCACAAACAAACCGTCCTGCGAGCAGGAGGCTTGACAAAAGCTGCCCGGAAACGGCCTCCGCGCCGCGGGATCGCGCCGGCCGCCGGGGCGCGGCTGGGCCGGTTGGTGGCGTGCGCGGCCGGG